AATCGCTTGCCCACATTCTGAGTGTTGCACTCCGCCGTGGACCGTACGCTTGAAAACTAAACAGTCCGGACGCTAGGGTTTGCAGTCTCAAGTTGCTAATGCATTGCAGCGTTCTGTGCATCATTTCGTCTTGAGTGCCGAACTTTTGCTCAGTCCCATGTCAACATGACGACCATAGAGCGTAGCCCTTTTGATGTAGATGCGGATGGTTTCAATTTTCAGTCACTGGATGAGTTGGCTGCATATCTATTTCGTATTCTTGATGGTATTCCTCGACGGATGTGGTTGAGTTACAGTCGAAAGAAGGTGCGATCTACAGACCAAGCACATGCAGATCAGATATTGCTTGGCTTGTATTCTGGCGTGCAGTCTCGAGGAAGACTGCAGTTTACAAAGAACACATTCCGGTTCCCTGGCCTTACTAAGTTGATTGTCCGAATGCTACATTATGCTCCCCAATTCTCGGATTTGGCAGTTACCAGAATACAGATCAATCGCAATGTCCGGACTATCCCACACAAAGATTCAAACAACTATGGTCCAAGTATTGGCTGGGCCATTGGAGACTGGACAGGTGGAGAATTATTTGTCGTGGATGACCGAGGTCGCTTTACATATACAGTTGATGATTTCGATTGCAATGTTGCATCGCATGGTGCTCACTTGAAAGGCAGACTCTTGGATGTCAGACAACCTTGCTGCTTTGAAGGAAATGTGATTCATGCCACCATGCCTTTCACTGGAACTCGCATCATGATGGTTCTATTTTGTGTCAAGCAACATGTTCCCGTTTCACCCCATGCCTCATGTCTTTCCCTTGCGCATTTTCTTGGTCTTCGTGTTCCTGTCCGTTCCTCTCTTTCCTTGTCTGTTCCCTCTGGTCCTCTCTTTTCTTCTCCTCTTTTGTCCTTGTCTGCCTTTCCTTTCTCCTCGCCTGGTCGTTCCTTGTCTTCGTCGGTTCCTTCTCCTTCTTCCTCTCTTTCTTCTCTTTCTCTTCTGTCTGTTCCTCCTCGTCCGTCTGCTCGTCCTCCGCTGTTGTCTCTCTCTCCTGCCTCCTCTGTTGCTTCCCTCGTGTCTTCGTCGGTTTCCTTTGGTCTTTTCCCTGTGTCCTCTGTTCCCTCCGGCTCCTCCTCTTTGCGGTCTTGGTCTTGCTCCTCCTTTCCTGGGTCTTCTTGCTCTTCCTTTGTTGTTTCTTTCTCTGATCGTGATGCCGACGATTCTGACGAGCAATGTCTGAGTGACATGTCATTGGACGCATAAAAAGACTGTCTTAGGTTCGCTTCGTGCACTCGCATCGTATGTCTCTCACTCTGGCATCGGGTGACCTGCATGTTTTCAGGCAATTCTGCTGCATGTGCTCAAGAAGTATGCTCCACCACTCGATAGACCATGACCCTTTGCCAGTTTCGTGATGTTTGGATGGAGGATGCGCCCCGATTCTGCATATTCTCTTTTCTTATGGTACGTAGCAGTGTGCATGTCAGCACACAGAGATGTGACAATCCCGATTCTTGTCGAAGCCAGCAGCACATCCAGTGGCAGCGATGGTTGATACATGGGATGGGACGATGTTTTCAAGCACACAATTACCATGGACTGTCCAATGACTCTGCTACCTTCAATTTTACACATCTTCTTCCACGATGCAGTGAGTCTTTCCTGTGCCTGTCAGTGCAGTGTCGTACTCTGACATTGCGACATATCAAGTTTCTGATGCGATTACGAGTATGCCATGGTTCTCGATTGAAGCCTTCTTGTACATACCAGCTCATGTGTATCGAGACATGTTGGTGCCAACTTCACCAAGTTACGTTCTCGGCGTGCGAATTTCCCGTTGCGCATGTTAGAGTCATATAGGTGGCTTTGAGGTTAAAAAAAGTGTCCGCCAATGTTCTGTCCAATTGTGTGCATAAGTTTGCAAAAATGTGAGTATTGGCAGACGTTGGTTCAAGTACTTATGCACCGCTCTTAACGTATCAATGTCTGGCTCTTTGCTGAGCTGCAATGACATAATCAGCAGTCTGGATGGAGATCAAGTCACGGCTCTTTTTCAGATCTTGGGAGATCGCCGCCAGAGGGCAGTCTTTCTTTCTCATCTTCGACGCCGGATTCAGAACGATGCAGATGCCCTTGTTGCACAACATCTTGGCGCTCCCTCCCACTCTGTCTCTGTGTCTTCTGTGCCTTCGTTGTCTTCTTTTCTTGCCCCCTCTCCCTCTCCTTCTCCCCTCCCTCCTCCTCCTCCTCCCCCTCCTGCTTTTCCTCCTCCCCTTCCTGTGTCCTTCTCTGCTTCTGGTCGTTTTCCTTTCTCTCCGTCTCCCTCTCATTTGGATGCTTCTCTTGGAGCTGTTTCGAGTGACGCTGCACCGACAGTCATGGATGGATCGACTCTTTCGGATCCTCAACAGCGTGGTGCACTGCCTCGTCGACGGCAACAGACTGCTCCTGCTGCTCGGAGAAGCAGATCCATGAGTGAATCGGAGGTCCGTGAGAGATCCCGGTCGAGGTCTAGGTCAAGATCAAGCACCACTGTTTCACTTGGAGGCTCTCGTCACATCAGGTAAGACGGACGTATGTGCACGACAAAACTGTTGTCCCGAACTTGCTTGCAACTTCTGAGTCGCAGACATGTGTTGTGCATCCTAGCAGCATCACACTTCGAAGTTTCTTACGGCTCAATTTGTAAGATGAAGCGAACAGCAAGTATGGCGGCCCTTCCGGCCCCAGCTCCGATGGTCAGGATTCCAGTTGTTGTACCTCCGGATATATGCTCTGGCGGACGTGAGATGGGTTTCTGGCTCTCTTTGCCTACAGATTCTACGATTGATGACCTGAAGAGGAAGGTGTGCGATGAGCTTGCGAACCGTACGGGGATTCCACCCCGTTTGAACGCCTTCCAATTAAGGCAATTTGGTCAACATTTACCATTCACATCTTCGATTTCTCGAGTTGCTGCCTTCCCGCATACTACGCAGGCCGTTCAATTTGTGAGAACCTGGCCACACGAATCATCGTGGTGAACTTGAGCAGTATGCTGATCAAGGAAATAAATGCTGTGTTGCGGTTTGTTATGCGAGCTCATGAGTTTTTGTTGCTTTTGCAATCAACAAGTTGTCCTTCTTTTACTGCAGGATGTGAGCCCGAATGTTTTCGTAGTGCCTTCTGAAGGTTGTCGACATTTCTTCGACGCCATGTGGGAACTTACTGTTCTGACAGAGAAAGTGCTGATTTTCATCAGCACCCGACGCCATATTATTTTCTTCTTCAACTTTCCACCACTAGATCCACTTGAGACTCTGGATGTTACTCTACGCAGACATGGATTCCATACGATGTATGATCTTGAACAGTTCGTTACACAATGCAGAACAGAAGGTATGGATCTTCGTGCTGAAGTATGGGAGTTCTTTATGCAAGGACCCAGCGTGTACACGCCGATCACGTGTGAAGCTCCCGCATTACCTCACATTGTGGTGTTTGCGTCCGTATGCAAAGAATGGTATTACACTATTATCCGATTGGTTGGCGATCGCACATTCTTCAATATTCAGCAGCTTTGGCGTCTTGCCCAAGTGCGCCATGCAAATGTGGAATGGATTCATCACTCCAATGAAGATCGAGTGCGTATTGGATCGGCTTTCATCGATGATCTTAATGTGCGCCGCATTGTTCACCCACTGTAAAGTGTAGATACGACCTGGACTTGAGTGGATCACGCTACATGAGAATAAATGGTGTCCTTTGTCATGCGAGTGTTGACATGTTGGCCTAGGTACTGTCCTCTTTCGTGCTGATGTACAGTGCTCAAGCCTATTGAAGTCTCAGTGTGTAATCATGTCGTCCAGTGGTCGTCGTACTCTTCGCTATGAACCAGGGTCGAGGCGAGCCAGCGATGACAATTTGGAGGATATTGTGCAAACATCAGCTGCCGATGCCCTCGATGCTCTTCGCTCTAATGGCATCCATCCACAGGACCTTATTCGGTTGATGCTTCGTGTTGTCGAAATCCTACGTGACTCTCCGGATTTTCAACAAAGGATGTCACGATGCTCAGGATTGTGCTCTCATACGAACTGTGGCCGGGTATGTGCTCGAGCAGACGAAGGTCACAATCATTGCCGATGCTATTACCACCAGGTTATTGACCGCAGTGAGAGAGCCATCAAGAAGCGTAGACGTGAATAGGCTTGCTGCTATCATGATGATTGGGAACCGTCGCAAAAAACGTGCACCTTGAAGCTTCTGTGCCCCTTCGGGGGCCTGTTTGTGTTATTCTGCTGTACATGCGACAAACCTGCATTCACATGTCCATTTTTCTTAGGTTTTTCTGTTTGCAAACCTTTGTAGGTACATGCTTTGACCCATGGATTTTTCTTGTTTTCATGCTCCTTTCGTTTTAAAGTTTGCAGGGGCACACGGCATCTGCGACCTACCGTGTGCAACGAAGCTACGGTTGCAGATGGGATATCCGACTTGGCCAGTCGGACGTACCTGCAAAAAAGCTGGGCCCCTGAGCCAGCAAGATTAGCGAAATGGATTTCTGTTTTCTGAGGCAGGTTTTAGGTGTGTCCATCGAATGTTTTCATTTAACAGTCATGTTCATGAGGGCATATGCATTCGCTTTCTGCACTTTTGCCGCAATCTGACAAGTACACTCAGCACAGAAGTCATCTACAGAAGGCAGGCGGGTCAGTGGAAGCCTTTCCAGTTGTGCCTCAAAGTTCTATTCACATCTTGGGCTGGAAGTATTTCCAGCAGCACGGCGCATGGATCAGAGTGCCGATCGTGCTCTCGCCACAGTGTGATGTGCGTTTTTGACTCATCGGTGGTCTTGGGAGCCTTTGGGGGAAGTGCTCTTGGAATGGTTCTTGGGAACAGCGAGGTTTTTGACTGCTGGTCTCTTTCGCTGTTTTGGGGTTGTATGCTAAGGCTACGGCTATGACAGGGGGAAGGTTGTTTGGGGCTACCAGGCACCCCTCGGTCTCGATGGCCTGCAAAACATGCCCTTCAATCGAGGCCAGGCAGAGGGTTCTTGCTGAGTTCTGGACGCAGCTCTGGTACTCTTGCCGGGAGGAGTCCTTTACCTTTTCTTCCTGCACCTCAGCACGCTTCAGTTGCAAAAGAAGCAGGCTATGCCAGATAAAGTGGTTGTTGGGTTGCAGCATGGGCTCCCATAAAGGCACGTGGCATTTTTCAGGCGTCTTGCGAAGACTTGACCTGTACCGCAGGCGGAAGCCATCGAGATGCTGGAGGCCGCTTAACATCGGGTTAAAATAGGGCGTTTCGCAGCAGTTGCTAGCAGCAAGGCTTCTTTCTCTTGGTTTGACTTGTTCAGGTTTCTTGAGCTGCTTGTTTGCGGTCTGTTTCTCACAACTCTGGTGCTTTCCTTCACCGGTCCTTGCCTGGTTTTTCCGCCGCACAGGCCGGCAAGCCGTTGCTGAAGCTGCCTTCGGACTTCTCGGCTCTTCGCGTTTCGAGCCCAGACTGCCTTGTACGCGAAGAGGTCTCCCAAGCATCGCCTGATCCCCGTGCCGCAGGTCCAGCTTCTCTGGGAGGTGCTGCAAAGTCCAGCAGTGCAGTGTCTCGTTTCAGAACTGCTGAACTCTTCGAGGCCGGAAGGTGTGAAGAGGCTGTTCTCGAGGCGGGAGAGCAGGGAAGCCTCCGCCCCGAAGACCAGAGCAGCTGTGCTTTGGCCCTGAGGCCCGAGCTCAGGTGATTGCCAGCCCTGGCAGCTGGGCTTCTGCCCAGGCATTGCCGGTGTGGCTTCGCGTACTCTTCTTAGGGGACCCAGCCGTGCAAGGACTATGCTCGGCTTGTCTTCGACTTGCCTTCACCAGATGGCTTTGATGTGGGGCACTCGCAGAATAGTCAAGACAAGACTTGAAGCCTTGCCTGCAGAGCTTCAGGCTTCAAGGGGCCACACTGTTCGATTTTCCGGGATGCTTCCCTCTGCCGAGATGCTGAGTTGTCTGCCATCTGACCGCTTTCGGTGCAGCGCCGGCACCAAAGTCAGCTTTCGGCCCCCGAGGTTGTCTCGTTTGAAGAGTTGGAGTCCAACTGGACACAGGATGAGGCAAGGGTGCCTCCACCTGAGACAGCAGCAACAGGCCCTGGGTCGCGGCAGCTGAGGCATGGAATGCTCTTTTGCTGTTTCGGCACCTGCAACAAGTGGAGGAGACCACTGTGACAAAGCTAACAGAAGGTGAATGTAGACAAAGCTCCTCGCAGTTCTTGCTGTCTAGAGGAGCAGGGACAGAGCACGGGTGGTGGCAGCGGCGTGAATCGTGTCGCCTTCCTTGGTGAGCTCGAGCTGCGAAGGCTCATGGGGCATAAGGCTGCCGCTCTTTCTTTGCCATGATGTTCAAGAGAGGTGTGCACTTGCGCGGACACAGCTTGACCAAGTCGCGGTCGACGCTGCAGACGTCCAGGAGCCGGATGATAAAAGTGAAAATCCCGAATGCCTTTGCATCCTTGCCAATCCTTGCACTCACAGCAAAGGCAGGCTCTTGCCTGCGCCTTTTTCGGCTTTCTCTGTCTCATCCAAGTCTTTTCAAGCTGCGGTTGAGGAGATGGTGCGGGTGATGAGCACCTTCGTGAAGCATTTTGCTGGAAGGCCTGGCTGGGCTTTGGATGTCTGTTGAAAGGGCCCGGAGCAAAGCTCTTGACAGGGCCCACTGTTTCTTCGACCTGAAGCCACACCTCGCGTGTCTCTCTGCGAGAACCCGAGGGAGGATCACACATCGTCTCTTTCTCTCTGCTTGTCGTAGCTCTCAGGATGCGGAGGCATCGCCGCTCCTGTCTGTGGCAGCTGGCCAGGCCAAGAGCGCGAGCTGTGCGCGAGTTGTTTTCCAGCCGTCTCATCGACTTGTTGCAGGATCGGGAGGCAGCAGTGCTGGAGGCGAGGTTGCGGAGATCCTTCCGAAGAACGGAGGGGATGGACGTTTCCGCGGGAGCCTCGAGGGCAACGGACGCTGAATCCTGAGAAGCAGTTCCAGTTCCACATCTCCAGGCCGCCGCCGAGCAGTCAGCGGCAGAGGCACTTGCAAGCGACCGCCGCGGTGCTGTGACTGTGCCTGGTGGAAGGAAGCCGAAGCCTGCCGCTTAGTGGAGACTTGGATTCGATTCGGAGGCCAGCTTGAAGAGGGCTTAGGCGAATGGGTCGCTTCGCAACCCCTCTGAACAGGTGGTTCGGGTGCCGAGAACAAGAGCCCTGAAGCCCTGCTGCAGCTGGCAGTATTGGCCTTGGTGGGCGAGGTTCACAATTTCCTGAAATCTCTGCTTATCTGTCGTCCGAGGTGGTGGCTTTAATTGAAGCAGATAGGTGGTCCCCCAACAAGGCCGGAGACGGCACTGATCGGGACCTAGCATGCGGCAGCAGTTTTGGACTCCATCGTGCAGGCAGCGGATCGGCAGCATCTCCTTGATGCCGTCGTGCCCGGGACTTCGGCAATCTGGCCTACTGACGGTAGCGATTGGCTTAAAATGTCGGGCCTCAAACGCTCTTTGTCCATTCTCCGAGGCTTGCGCAGTTGGGGCTAACAGAGCAGAAGCATGCTTTCGGTTTCAAGGCGCTTTGATACACGCAGCCCGTGTGTCAGAGCTTATTGTCATGCTGCTTCTGCTCTGAAGGTGCTTCTGCTGTTGCTGTACAATGCGCTGGGGTTGCCGATGTTGATGTTCAAAGTGCCCTTGGACCCAGCTGCAACAGAGAAGCTCAGAGTGTTGTTGGCTGGAACCGCCAGAGTGAGGCTCTCGTGCTCTTCCGCAGCTCTTGGCACAAGTTTTGCCGACCCAGGTTCAGCACAATGGCCATCAAGAACATCCAGGTCAGTGTCCCCCAGTGGAACAAGCCAGGTTCTGTCGGCTTGACCCCGATTGAGCCACGCAACTGTTGTCCTTCTCGGGCTCAAACAGCCACAGATCACGTGCTACAAAACACGGTGCAAAGTGAGACAACCTGGGCCGGTCGAAAGATTTCTTCTCATTCAGAAAGTGGCTTTGGCCTGTTCATGCCATGTAGAGCCTTGGCATGGCGCTTCGCCCATGTCCAGCTGGGTGCATTCCAGAGGTTTGAGGGGGAGGGCAGGGTCTCGCGACATTTCTGTGTTTGCAGGCGCGCACTTTGTACCTGCATCTCAAGCTGAAGTTTTGAGGCAAACAAGGCTTTCTTGCGGCAAGCCTCATTCTGAGTCGAGGACGACGGCGATGAAACTCCGGGCTTGGCATCAGCTTTACCAAAAGCAGCACACCCGCCTGAAACGCAGCCAGGCTTCATTTCTTCTAGAGTAATAGAGGCAAAGACGTGAGTGTATCAGAATCGGATTTGCGTTTGGTTTTCTGATGCATGGCTGAGGCAGGCACGAAGAGAGTCACTGCAGAGTTCGCCTGCCCCGTCGTCCGCTCAGAGAATGGCACGAGCACACGCACACACACACACCAAGCTCAGACCCGCTTGGGCAAAAGCACCATCAGGAGCATCACTGTGTCAAAGAGGCCGGCGGCTGAAGAGGTTGACTACGAGGAGCTGTTCGAAATCCTTCGAACAGGCCGAGCTGAGCAGCCGTTTTCTCAACGGAGACATGCTATGGGGAGGTGTGTTGACTCCACCGGTAACTGTCTAAGAAGCTAGGGTGTCATCCTGGCAATGCATCGACAAGGATCGACAGTTGGATCTCGAGCGTAGAAGCTCCCTCATGGTACTTCAGACCGGATGTTCACGCCATTGAGGACGAATATGATAGAATTTCCGGCACATTAGTCTTCTACACATGCACGAATGAACGCAACGAGCGCAGCCAGAGTAGAGGTAGTTGTCGTTGCATGAATTATCGCTTCGCCTCGTATTGCTAGCGCCACAATGCAAGAGACTCGTCATGAAGACCAGACCTTGTTCCACTTTGATTTTGACAACCACTTCTGTTCTCCGGTAGAATCAACTTGCGACCGATAGCAGGCTTCCCCACCGACAATGCAGCAGAGAAGGATTGCAGGACTGAAGGCATCAATGCGGGTTTCGACGAAATTGCAGTTTCTCCGATCAGCCGACAGTGAACTTGAAGCTTGAGAGCCAACTTGATGCATCACGGAGCATGTTCCCGCAGGCGCAGAAGACAAGCCGAATGCCTCCACAAAACGCCAAGACTCTTGCAAGACTGTCATCGAGGACACTGTTGCTGTAGCATGGCGTGACCTTACAGAGTGCGGGCACTGGAGACTATCAGCGTGCGGCATACGGGCACAAGCGACTGAGGAGCCTTCCGCAGAATGTAGTGCGGAAAGCACCTTTGTACATAGTCGGATGCTCAGAGACACTCTTCGCCAACCAAGCTGAAGCCCTGACTTGACACTCGTTGACACCCGTCTAGTAAGGTCTCCTGCCAGAGTGCCCTGCACCCAAACGGCCCCGGCGGCTTGGCAGAGCTTCAGTCCCATGTGCGCTTTAGTTCCTGATTCCCGCCTGAAGCTTGATTTTCGAAGAATAATATGTTCGAATTGCTCCAAATGCAGCCTACTCTCGACAACAAAGGCTGGATGGGATGAAGGCACCGTGTTTGTGTTTCGCTTCTTGGTGTGGCAATGTACAGTAGGCGCATTGCTGGTGACCGTGCTTGCTGCAGCATTTTGTGACCAAGAGCACAGTGAGTGGATACCCATCTCGATCTGGAGAGTGGAGAGATTCATGGTCGTCGCCTCGGTTGCTTTTGTGTCATAAGACCACGTCAGGCTTTGGTATGTGACCGCAAAGGGCCAGTTTTCGGCAACATTTTTGAGGCTGGTGTCCGCCTGCAACTCTTCGTGCTGCTGTGCAGCTTCCAGGGCCTCGCCCAGTCAGGTGCTTCCTTGTCAGTCGCGAGCAGACCGACAGCCATGCTTTTGCCTCAGGTGCTTATGCAGCGGTGGAGAGTGATGAGTACCAGTATCTTGGCTTGAAAGCCATGTGGGTGCGGGGAGGGACTGTGACTTTCGGCGAATTCGGCGAGGTCCAACTGGCAGAAAGACTTATCTCCACAGCTGAAAGAGGAGATGCAGCAACGCCTGGCTGACCTGAAGGCCGGCGGTCACTGTCGGGATGTTTGAGAGAGCAATGGTCAGTCCAGGTCTGCACTAATTCGAATGGAAGATTGCCCAGAACAAGATGGAGCACGACTTGCACGTCATTTCGGAGAGTGGGACCGATGAGCTTCGTGGTCTGAAGGATGCGACGCCTTGGCCGCAAGCAGTTGTGCGTGAGAGTGTGCAGGTTATGGCCACACTGTGAAGTCGGTTGTGATGAGGGGTGTTAACGAACGCAGGGAGAATAGATGAGGGGAGCATTATGTGCAAAATTATGCAAGTGGTACCAGAGGCATATCGCTGAAGAGTCCAAAGCTGAGGAGAAGCACCTTGGCTGGCCTAGCCCTAGCCCCCGTGGTTAGCCCAGGGCAGCAACATGCCGAGGTTCCGCAGATCAGAAGAGCGCAGCATGCAGAAGCAGGCGGGTGCAGAGGAGCCGCCTGGGAGCTTGGCGAAGCTGCATTCAGTCACTGGATTCGTTGTGTGCCGGCCCGGCATGGCCCGACCATCTGAACTTGCTCGTACTGCATAGCAGGAGACATTGCAGCATAAGTTGGAGAAGCTGAAGGACTTTTCGTTGCAGTTGCTCTGTGGGAAACAGAAAGAGACCTTTACAGGCCTGAACTGTGGTTGATGAAACGAGCCACCTGGCTTTGCAACCCTGTGCTAGGCAGAGACTGAGGCCTCCTCAAGTGCCAGACTGGGATCCTCAACAGCCAGCATGTCCACTCGGTCTTATGACAGGTTCAGTTCAAATCGGTCGAAGGTATGCAGAGCATGCCATTCTGTCCCACTGCCTAAGCCGGACAAGGCTTTGAATGCTCATTGCAGGGCCGTTTTTCCGAATACGGGCGAAGCTGCGACTTCCCATTTGCCCACCAACCCCCGTGCCTGACAATGCTGTAGCAACAGCCTTGTGTGTGTGTGCGCGCACAATCTCGGTTTCCAAAGACACCGAAGGACAAGGGAAGTGCGCATGTCCCGATAACACCTTGCAGACTGGGGAGGATACGCCGACATGGGGCTTTGCTAAGTTGCAGCATCAGTTTGGGCGGAGGATGCGGCCGACAAGGAGCAGGCACGCTTCGAGCATTCCGAACAAGTACGTCTCAGCAAGCTGAAGAACGAGATGCGTGCCTGCAAGCAGACGCGCCGCGCGAAAAGATGCGACCTAGATGTGATGGTGATGCGATGTCTTCCATAAGGTATGATGACGAAAAGGCGAATGTGCTCGACAAGCTCGCGGGCCTAGTTGGCCTAGGTTAGGGGTTCACTGCGATATGAATCTGTCCTTTGTCCGAGCTGAGATTCCGACATGAAGCAGAACGTGCCCAGACTCAGGCAGTATGCCACGACACTAAGCAGAAGAGGGCGTTCAAGTTCGTAAGAGGTTGGCACATGGCATACTCGCTTAGGACAGCTTGTGTTGCAGGCAACTTCGCTTGCGTCTGCAGCTGATGCAAGTGAGCCACCCCGTGTCAACAAGCCATGGCCCCGGAGATGTTTTGCCTTTAAGATCATTTAGTCCAAAGAAGTCTAGACGCTTACCAGCAAGGTCTGGCGACTGGTGGAAGGCTCCTGCCTGCTCTTCCTGGGATTATAGCTGAGTCCTGCTGATGCAGAGACGGCGGTGAGGTCCTCTCCGCAGAAGAGGAGCAGAAGCTCAGAGAGAGCCTCGAACAGCTGAAGGACATCGCAGCAGGGACACACTTGCGTGCGGCACAACTAATTCTGGGTTGCGGTTTGGGGCATTTTGTGATTTTTTGGTTTCTGTTCATATCGACCTGAATCGGGCCTTAGTACACCAGCTCACATGACAGGTGTAAACTAAGCCTGACAGTGACCATAGTACACCTTGACCTCGAGACCCGTCATGCCTACAGTGCCCCAAAATCCTTCAACACTGCTTAGCCTTGATCTGATTTGCCATGAACTTGACCCCAACAACATGACCTTGCAGGGGGGGTTCCAAAAAGAGCCCTTATTGGACTCGGGGGGGTTGATACATCTCTTGGCCCTCCTCTTGTTTGACGCCTCACGGTTCTTTCTGAATGTTCTCTGTGTTCTGCACCACAGGGTGTTGATCAGTTACATCGAAACCTGCGCAGCGTACGACGTGTTTGGTTTTCTGGACTGCTTTGGGCTGATGTGCAGCGACCAAGACTGCGCCCGCCTGCACATATAGATTCGGCTGTAACGCAGGAAGGCCTGCAAGACGACGAGGATGCCATTGAAAACAAAACGCAAAAGAAGCTGGAAGCCGTGCAGGACAAGTTGCCAGGCCTTTGTTGAGACATGTTCATCCGGTCTGCTGAGTGTCGAATAGGATGATTTGTCGAGGAGGACCTCTTCTGTCCCAGGTCAGCCAAGTCTGCTCCTTCTTGGTAGCCAAGGTTTTCTCGCAAGGAGAAGAAGGCCGTGGACAAGCCTCGCCCCCAGCGCGGCAATTGCATAGTCGTATCTAATGGTACGAGATACAGAACATCCGCATTCCCAGGCTTACGAAGAAGATTGAGAAGATGCAGAAGAAGGAAGTTAAAGCCAAGGATGAAGACACATATTCTGCTGTGCGGTCTGCATCAGTCATGTCAGCGTGCAGACTTTGGAATTCTGGATGCATGAAGGAGAAGCTGCAGCAAGTCCTGCAAAAGCTGGAGGACGTTCGAGAGTGTCCCGTGGCCGGTCTTGCTGCAGTTCTCCATCTTCGCAGGAAAAGTCGAACTCCACCCAGAAGAAACTGGAAGAAGTCGGTCCGGAGATTGTGCAGAAGCTCAAAGAAGAGCCCCTTTTCAGCATTCAAGCGGAAACATGCGAAAAGCGCGTTGCATTCACGTTCAATCTTGTCGTCTCAGGTACGAGGACAAGAAGTCCGCTCTGGAGCAAGAGTAGCTGCCCTATCTTTTCCTGATGCGTTTCCGAGCGGTTCGCTGCCACGGGCTCGGAAGCAGAGGTTTAAAAAAAAGGCCGAGCAGTTAAAAAAGGAAGAGGAGCAGAAGCAAAAGGAGGAGGAGGAGAAGGCAAAGCAAGAGGAGGCAAAGGAAGAGAAAAAGGAAGAGGAGGCATGGTCGACCTTCGTTCTTCACAGATTTGGTTTTGTATTGCCAGTTGATCGTCTTGTCAAAAACCAAACGCTGATGCCATATCGTGCCGCCTAGTGAGATCTCGGAGGCGTGGAGGCAGCACAGGCCCACCCAACCACCCACCCACCCCCACCCACCCGCCCCCCCCCACCCCCAGCCACCCACCCCCAGCCACCCACCCCAGCCACCCACCAAGGGCCACCCACCCCCAGCCACCCACCCCCAGCCACCCACCACCCACCCACCCACCCACCCCCACCCACCACCACCCACCCCCCACCCACCCACCCCCACACCCACCCACCCCCCCCACCCACCCCCACCCACCACACACCCACACCCACACCCACCCACCCACACCCACCCACACCCACCCACACCCACCCACACCCACCCACACCCACACCCACACCCACCCACACCCACACCCACACCCACCCACACCCACCCACACCCCCACCCACACCCACCCACACCCACCCACCCACCCACACCACCCACCCACACCCACCCACCCACACCCACCCACCCACCCACCCACCACCCACCCACCCACCCATGGATTCTCAGGAGAGTTCGATTTCGCCTGAGATAGTAAGGAAGGTACATGCCCTGCACAAAACACCGCGGAGAGACACAATGACGTAAAATGTAAAGAATTTGCGGATGGAGGGAATGGCTAAGTCGGATGTCCCATGCTCTCCAGGTGCTCGCCAAGCAGAACACCTCAAAGCCTACAGCTGCTCCGAATGCTACACAGGAGACATCCAAGAATTCCTGCACGATCGCCCGTTTTCGAAGTTCCTCTGGCTGTGACAGGATGGCTGGCCGTTAGAGGCGGCTCAAAGCTCCCGATTCACAAGCTGGGAGCAGGGTGCCAAGGAAATCGAGACGGCTAGTTTCTCAAGAGCATCTCGAGCCATACCTCAAAGAATTTATGCCTGAAGCAGCAAGGTAGCATGACCATGAACGGCCAGTGCAATCGAAATCGTGCTTTGAAGCAGTGCTTGAGGCCAGCAGCGCGCGGCCATTCTGGCATCATCCTGCTGGCAGCTGCGGCGCCTCAGCTTTCGAGATCACGTGCACATGCTTCAATGTGATGTCCTCGCCGTGTCTGCAGGCCATCGCAGCTTCGGCCGCATTGCTTCTATGCCGGTCCATGAAGCCAACGCGCCCAGCTTTGTTGGAGCCATTGGTCTGAAACATCAGTGCCAGCGCGCTGCTGGTTGAGGCAGGGGATTTGGCAGGGCAGCATGAGGCACTTGAAGGGTTGTCGGCGGCAAGCTTCTGACAAGGATATGGTGCTCGGAATGGAGCTCCTGTGAGCTCCTTGCAGGGCGTCCAAGCAAGCCGTCCAGATACGGATTGCTTCTGTACAGGACTTATTTGTTGAGCTAGGTTTATAGATCCCGTACTCAGTGGGATGTAGCTGATCCAGTCACTAGTCAGCCTGATAGTCCGAACCCCGGCGGCCTCGTACAGGGGCCTAGGCGAGGGCACGGAGAGGGGATGCCTGCTGTCAAAGAGCAGCTGACATAAGAGGGGCTGAAAGGGTTCCTCTTGTTTTGGGCGAGCGGAGGTCAGGCATCTTTGTCGTTGAACCCTTTATTCCGATGGTATCCTTGATAGTTAGACCTCGCTTGGGCTCGATCTTGCGGACTTACCAGGACCTCTCAGATGGCTCATGATCAGGCAGTCTCCAAAAGAGTGCGGCATCTTTGGGTCGCTAGCGGCTCAGACTTCAACATGCGCTGGTCACCTCAGCCAGGCCCTGGTTCGGACCCAGCCCGATGATGGCTACGAAGGCCCGCCGCCGCCAGATGAGGCAGGAGATTCGAAGCCTCCTCAGATTTGTCCAAAATATCTCTGAGAGATCTCTGAGATATCCGAGCATCGGCCAGGTGGCTCAGGCATATGCCCTGCCCTGTGCCCAGACACGGAGACGAGCTTGTGGTGTCTGCAGAAGCCACTGTGTCCTCTGTGCGGCGGAAATCCAGGTTGAACCTCCCTCTAAGCGCCTTGCGGAGCGACGTGCAGCGACGCAGTCGTGCGCTAGCTCGCGAGCGGCATCCGGATAAGGCGCCTAGACCTGCTCACTCTCCGAACACTGACGCCGATCCCTCGTCTCTGTTGATGCTCCAGGCTCCGCCCGATCAGCGAGTCGCCCCGGCTTGTGGCTTGCTGCAGCCGTGCAGGGTATGGGCACGCAATCACCAGGTCAGGGCAACTCGGCTTTTTCGTCAGCTGCAAGATGCCAAGGCCAGGTAGCTGCAAGGTCTCAGCAACTGTATTCTTTTGACGTTTCACAACGACGTGATCTGGCAGTCCCAGTCCCGGGCTGGCAGTCAGTATATGTGCACTTCTCACTGTGCGACCCTTCTTGCTGAAGCGGGCAAGCGAGCCCGTATGACAGCCACATCTACATAATGCTGTTGCCAGGAGATAATTTTGTCCTGGCTGCGGCAAAGAAGTGTTCCAGTGTTGGATGAGCACTGGCCTAAGTGAATGCGCGGAAGAGCTGCGTCCTCTGCAACCTCATTCCAGCCCGGAACCTTTGCAGGTCGGATGACTCACCTTGTCTGGATAGTGCCGACGAATGTGAGGAGGAGCCTTGCAGGCAAGTGTTGCTTGACTGTCTTGCCAGAAAGGCTTCAAATTGGAAAAGTCTGAACCTGCAAAGGCCGCCTGACGTTGTGTTCGGTGAGGCCGGAGATGCAGCGACCCAAGTCCTGGCGCCACGGGCAGTGTCTTTCCTAGCATTTTGGTTGAGACGATGGCACAAGGTTCTGGCAGATTTTGACCAAGATGGCTCCGGCGGTGAGTCGGAGCAAGAGGATGAGAAGGTGTGATCCCGAGTAGCTAGGACCTGTGGAGCAGGCAGTTCTTGCGACTCTCGCACTTAAGGCCAATCATGTGAAATGTGGACAGTCTGCAGGCAGCCTGCGTCTACAAAGGGCGAGGGGACTCGCCTGACACATTGTCCAGTAGTCCGAGCCTCAAAAGAGGAACGAACGGACAAGCCGGTCACAGCAATTTGTGCACTTGCAGCTGTCCAGAGGGTTTGCCAGTCAGGGCCTCCAGGGTGCGACAGAGCGAAGTGAGTTTGCCGTTGTCCGGACATGAAAGAACGTCACCGCTAAAGCTTCTGTCTACGTTCATCTGGAAATGGTCTTGCCGGGCCCTGCTCGGCTAGTTGAATTCAGCCTGAAGGGGCGGGCGCTGTTGCTGTGGCGCCGGACCATGGATGGTTTGTGCCGGATGCTTTGCAGGTGAAAGCGGCGACGAAAAGGTTGCATCCCTGGACGATTTACGTGAATCCAAGCGACGGCAGTACTGTAGCCGATGACAGCAACTGCTCTGGAGGTAGAAACTGCGCTGGCGCTGCGGAGCAGAGGGATAGTTCGAACGGAGGAGCAGAACGATGGCTCATGATGGCTCTAAAGACTCTGAGGAAGAAGCCGTGCAAGAGACAGGTTGCTCGGTCAAAACAAGGAGTCGAACAGTGCGCCGAGCTCGCAGGACTCGGCTCTGGTGCAAGCCACAGCGTGCGGAGCCCGATGACGGTGTCATGAGCAGACACTGCCTTGAAGTTTGATTGGTGTTTGTAGTTTTCGACTGTGATCCTTATCATATACGTTCTGCATGCTTGCATCAAACATTAACGGTTGGCGACGGCCATTTTGGGTCAAGTCGCCAAGTTTTTCAGGTGGTGCAGCCGGTAGCCTCTTTCGACAGCCATGTCAGACTGGGTCCAGCAAGTCCACAGTGCGGAGCAGTCTTGGGTAGACTTGCTCAGCCAGGACGCGGACATAGTCACTGAGGCACTGGCCAACCTTCCAGATGATCTACGAGGGCGACTGCAGACAATCAGCCAGATCGCAGACAACGCAGCCCACCAGCAGGCCATGGGGGTTACAGCCGTGATCGACACAGGCCTTGGCACAGCCTCCTGGCACCTGCTGCAGCCGGGCGAGTCCAGCAGTTCGAGTGAGGTTCAGACGGAGCAGCCTGCGTCTTCTTCAGCCGGTCCTGCCCCAGCCACGGTGCAGTCTGTTCCTTCAGCCGCTTGGGCAGATCAGACAGACGATGTATCTTTTCCGAAAGCTGGTCAAGTCAGTCGCGAGGCAGCCTTGCTTTCTCAGGGGACTGCGCCAGCCACACCTAGCCAGGAGCAGCCGCCTCTACCTGTTCAGTCTCAGGACCCACCGCAGGCACAGTCTCAGGCCCAGCCCCAGACTCAGACTCAGCCGCCTCCTGCTCAGACTTTGCAGCTCACCGCGCAGCCCTCACCAGTCTTGCCTTTGAGCAAGGCCAAAGCTGGCAAGGGCCTCACCCCAGGTGTAATAGTCAAGACGCCGCCAGCCAGGACAGATGGCCAGGTGCTGGTGAAAGCCATGCCAGGACAGCCAGGTCAGCCGTTGCAGCCACAGCCTCAGCCTACGGCAGTCCATCCAGGTCAGCCGGCCGCTAAAGCCAGCACAGTCGGCCCCCCCCCACCTTTGGGTGGCAAAGGCCAGCCTGGCACGCGAGGCGTCCAGTCAGTCAGTGGCAGACCGCGTCAGCCACCCAGTCACCCTCCAGCCGTGCGACAGCCGTGGGTCCAGGATTCGAGCCAGCTGCAGCACTTCCCGAACGACTTAGTTCATTACTCGGGAGGAGTTTACTATGCAGCCTACGAAGCAGTCGGACCCAGGGGGTCCTTACCAGCCTCTCAGCCATATGCAGGCGCCTTTCCGCCTTTGTGCCCCAGGCGTGAACACAGACTTCCACGAGCCCTTCGCGGCCATGGACATGTAGTGGCAGGTTATTGCTTGTCGTTGTGTCCCATTTGCATGCAACAGGCATGCTCACGAGCAGTCTGTGTTAGTCGCTTGGCGGGCGCAGCCCACGATCATCACGACTGTCCGGACTGCCATGAATCAGGCCGGGGTGCTTTTCTTGCTTCAGCGTGACTCCGTCCCGTGGCCAGGGTCACACAGGGGCAGACGCTGAGGCTGCTACAGGATGCCACAGGCCAGGCTGAACAACTTGACAAAGTGTGTCGAGCCCTCAGCGTTTTCGGCCAGGGCCCTGGCTGAGTGGCGGTCGTAGATAGCCCTTGTCAGCCCTTGGCAGCCTTTGTTTTGTACTGTCACTGTTTCAGGATTGCAACTTTGCTTTAGCAGCCTCCAGTCAGAGTGTGCAGTTCGAACTTGCTGAACATGTGACAGTCCTTGCCAGCCTTGCCAGCCGCATTTCACCTTGTGGTGTTCTCCCTTCTGTTGGCAGGGTTTTAGGCCGTATGTTCACAGACACCGCCCTCTGGGGCATTGACCAGCCGCTTCAGACAAAATGTGTCACCGCACTTGTGTGCTAGCGTGTGACCTTGACGTGCACTTGAGTGCAGCAGCGACACTTGTGTGTATTGCCGTCCTCCCACTCGGCTTGAGCCGGAGTTAGGGGAGGAAGCCCTTGTGGGTCATCCGTGCAGGCCTGGTGTTTCGGACAGCTTGTGCTGTGTCCACCGCCGGCTGCACAGGTGCTTTTCAGTGCTCCCAGCCGACCTTGTGGTCGCAGGCAGGCCCTCGGTCTTGCAGCCTTGTGGCACAAACCTCAGCAGCCTTGTGGCCGTCAGGTTTCTCGCAGACTTTGTCAGGCCGGTTTGCACACGGCTCCGACGTCAGCTTCAGTAAGTCTGCTTTCGTCAGGCCTCAGCCGGTGATGTCAGCCGTGAGCGACTCCAAAGTCACGTTCACAGCCAAAGCTAAGCAGCATGGCGTTCCAGAGAGTAGTTTGCAGGCTTGGGCCACAGAAGGCATCCAGACTTACTCTCAGCTGCTTTTCCGCGTGGCGTCAGCCCCGAATGCAGTCGACGCAGCCAAATTGAAGACGCTGCTGGACAACATGCAGCCAAAAGCCACCGAAGCAGTGGCTTCAGCCGTCAACAGACTCCTGTTTGAAGCAGGCACCTTTGTCGTGGCGGAACTCCGCAACAGCCTAGACAGCCCGTCAACCGAACCCAGCCGCAGGCTGTCTACTCAGGAACGCAGCAGTCGTCTTCAGGCGCTACAAGCCAAGCTAGGCTCCTTCAAGATTGCAGGTCAGTTTGAGCCGAGTCACCAACTCGTTGACTCGTTCAGTGCCATGCTAGCCGACCAGACAATCAGACACGTACCCCTGAACAGGTGTAGCTGTCGTGAGCAGGAGGTGTGTAACGTCAAACGTGACGACCACCTCTTCCGCCTCGAGAACTCAGCCCTCCGTTTGGCAGCCAAACCCCAGCCGTTGAAGGTGGACCTCAGCACCGAACTCAGAGTTGCTCAGGCTCTCAGTCGTCGTGGGCTAGCCATCGAGATGGCAGGTTTGGGAACCTTTGAGGTTCACGAAGCCTACGCTCGCAGCCTGCTAGATCACTTGCACAGACCTCCTCCGCCCAAGTTTGATCCCCCAGGCATTGATGCCCTCCTGAGAGCAGACAGAGAACTTTGGATCAGGGTAGCCGAAGAACTTGGCACAGACTTCTCAGGACCAGGCAAGGCAAGCGCCTTTGACGATGCCATTAAGACTTGGCAACACAGCATGCAGGTGGCCTACTTTTTGGTACCAGTCCCCAAGCCTGAGAAGCCAGACAAGCCCTTGAAGCGCGCCTGGGAGTCGGCCTTCACCGCCGACAAAGGACAGCCGTGGAAGGGCAAGGGCAAAGGTAAAGGCAGCCAGCAGCAGACGTGGCAGCCCAAGGGCGGCAAAGGCAAGGGCAAAACAGGCAAAGACAAACAGCAGACGTCCATGCCCGCCGCCCTTAAAGGAATGGACCCGAACTACAAAGGTCATCCCATCTGCTTCAATCACAGCCTGCCCCATGGGTGCACAGAGGAGACTTGGCAGACTGACTTAGGGATCAGCTGCAAAAGAGGACTTCACATTTGCATGAAGTGCCATGGTGAGCACTCCTTCTCAGCTTGTGACAAGTGACAGTCAGGTTCTGGGGTTGTGCCCAGCTGCGTCCCAGCAGCGACAGGTCAGGCACAGCCAGGTCAGAACACAGCCACCGACCAAGTTTTGGCCGCAGACTCAGACGCTCTCAGCGAGCCCAGCCTCACCAACGTGACTGCAGTGTTTCACTCAGAGGGATCAGCCGTGCAGCCCACAGCCGTTGTGGCCACTGTCGCCACCGCCTCTGCCCCCCCCACTTTGCCTCAGAGTACAGTCCGCAACCAGTCAGCAAACCTGTTTGTGGAAGTTTTCGCAGGAACCGGCCGCATGGCCAAAGCCTTTTCAGCGTTTGGCCTGCAGGTGCTTGCAGTCGACACAGTGCTTCCTCAGGGAGTCCCAGCCCTGACGCTGGATCTGACCAAGGCCAGCAGTCAGAAAGTTTTCTTTGACCTTTTGCAGTCCAACAGGGTGGCAGCAGTGCATTTAGCCCCGCCGTGCGGGACGAGCAGCGCAGCCAGACGCATAGACTTAGGACCAGGGTCTCCTCCTCAGCTTCGCACAGCCCTCGAGCCAGATGGAGTGCAAGATCTCTCCTTCTCCAACAGGCATCGAGTCAACTCAGCCAACAGGCTGTATCGGTTCACAGCCGAGGTTATATCCTCTTGTGACCGCCTCGGCATCGCTTGGAGCCTGGAAAACCCAACTGCTAGTCTGTTTTGGTTGACCTCACCTGTTCAAGCCTTGTGGCGTCTCTTGAGAGACAGGGTGCATTTTGGCAGCTTTGACAGCTGCGTGTATGGAGGCCTGAGGAAGAAAGCCACAACGTTCTGGTCAAGTGAACCAGCTGTGTGCGAGCTCAGCCTTAAGTGCTGTCCAAGTTTAGGACACAAGCACCTGCCTTGGGGCAAGACGGCCGAGGGTTGGGCCACTTCTTCTGAAGCAGCCTACCCCAAGGCTCTTTGCAGCCATTGGGCCTCTCTGTTGACGCAGTCCCTGACAGCCAAGGGCAAGCTTGGCACTCAGGAGCCAGTCCCAGGAACTGCCACGTACGCGGCCTCTGAGAGAGCGTCACTGGGACTTTTCCCGAAGGCCGCACACAGCCCCGTGACAGTGGAGCCTTTCAGGGACAAGCAGTGGCACAAGCTGTCCTCTGCAGCCGACAGACTGTCTTTTGTCCCAGGCCAGCGCGTTGTGGCAGCAGGCTTTGCAAAAGGATCCACCACCATAAAGGTCGTAGTGGAATCTGGGCAATGGTGGGCTTTGGTTGGCATTCCAGTCTCCCCTGAGACTTTTCTTGAACTTGCCAGCCATTGTACTCACCCTCAGTCCGTTCTGCCACCGCTGCCCACAGGCCTTGAAAACGTGGTTCAGAAGCTTAGCCAAGAAGGCGTTGAAGCAGTACACAAGCTTCGTTGTCAAAGGCTGAAAAGCATGTGTGATAAGGCCCGTGAGTTGCAGCAGGAGGAGGACAAGGATCACCTGGGATTCTCGTCTCACCTTCGTCCCATCCTTCAAGGCAAGCGCCTCAGGCTGTTTGAGTGTCTGCTCCAGTCGCTGGACTATCCAGACCAGTCCCTGTCGCAAGACATGAGAAACGGCTTCAGAGTCACCGGTTGGCTACCAGACACTGGGACCCGTCCCAAGAAGGTGACTCCCCCAGCCCTTCACAGAGACGAGGTCTGGGGCTCCAGGAATCACAACAACTCAGCCGTTTGGAAACAGTGCAAGCCCAGTGGAGACGAGGAGCTTGATGCAGCCTTGTGGCAGCTCACTCTGGACGAGTGTGCAGCTGGTTGGGCCAGTCTCGAGCTAGACCACCGTGAGCCACCTGAGTTTTGTGTGTTAGGCAGGCGTTTTGCAGTCCGTCAAGGCAGCAAAATCAGGCCCATTGACGACATGTCCGTCAGCCTTGTCAACCAGACACTGGGTGCCGACGAGAAAATAGTGGTCCACCCCACTTCCTGCACCTTGGCCTTAGCCTTGCATCTGCAAGCCCGGTGCAGTCACAGACAAGCTGGCCAGGGCATCAAAGGCAGGACCTTTGACCTCAAGCACGCTTATAAGCAGCTTGGACTAAACCCTGTAGACCTGCAGTTCTCAAAGGTGGTCGTTTGGAGCCCTGAGCACAAGAGGCCAGTCGTGCTCAGCCTGTTAGCGCTCCCTTTTGGAGCAACAGGATCAGTCCATGCCTTTAGCAGATGCAGTCTGGCCATGTGGCATATCGCAGTCTCGTGGCTTTACTTACCCGTGACTGTTTTCTTCGATGACTTCTCATCGATCAGCCTAGCATCGGACACAGTGAACGTGGAGGCAGCCATGTTGCTACTTTTCAAGGCCCTAGGCTGGCAAGCAGCCCTGACAGGCAGCAAGGCGTCCGGCTTTGCCGAAGCTTTTGTAAGTCTTGGCATTGCGTACATCCTACCGAAGCAGCCGGACCAGCCGATCTGCCTGCAGAACACAGAGTCTAGAAGAAAGGAAGTGGCAACCACCTGTCTGAAGGCGCTTCAGACTGGGCACATGTCCCCAGCAGAGTGCCTAGCATTCGCTGGGTGCCTCAGACCTGCATCAGGCCCTGACTTGGGTGCTTGAGCACGTGCCCACTGCTGAGCCCAGGGCTTTCAGGCTTCCCCAGACGCGTTCCTTCAACATATTCACTGATGGCTCCTTTGAGCAAGGGCAGGGCCGTATTGGTGGTGTGCTCTGTGACGCTGGAGGGCAGCCTCGAGAGTGGTTCCAGTCTTCAGTGCCACAAGACGTTGTAGCCACGTGGTGCTCCGATGGGACATCGCACCCCATCCTACAGACAGAAATGCTAGCAGTCTGCGTTGCAGCCATGCTGTGGAGTCAGAGGTTGAAGGGAGAAAACGTGATCTTCTGGATTGATAACGAGGCCGCTAGACACTGCCTCATTTCAGCCCGAGGATACCCGCAGTCGAACAGCCTACTTCTTCAGACGGTGCTCATCTGTGAGCATCAACACCAGTTGAACACTTGGTTTTCTCGTGTTCCGAGCATTTCCAATCCTGCAGATGCACCCAGCCGAGGGGAGACAGCCAGTTTTCTGACAGGCACGACACAACAGGAAGTGAAGGTGGGGAAGATTCGGTGTCTGGCCAGAGGTGCTGTGCCGCGTGCTCACTTGCAGCCGCCTACTTGAAAGGAAGTGGGGACTTTTCAGACCTCGCATCCCTGAACAGTCGGTTGCAGCCTTCAGCCTGAACAGACGGCCAGTCCTAGCCCGGAGACAGACTTCGAGGACGGCCGGTCTTTTGAGGATCGCGGCACAGGATTTTCCCCACCTTCAGAAAAGGAGCTCTGCATCTTAGTAGAGTCGCTGTTCGTTAAGTTCTGCATGCTTGCATCAAACATTAACGGTTGGCGACGGCCATTTTGGGTCAAGTCGCCAAGTTTTTCAGCCCGCCCTCCACGCCCTGATGAGAAGGGTTCTGGATCCCAGTTGGGAGTGTGGTTTTGGCTTTGGTCCTGTCAAACGCAGCCGCCCTGAACTTCGTTTGCCTTGGGAGGACCCCACTTTTCAGTTTGTCAGCCAGGACGTGACTTTCCTAGACAGGTTACAGGAAGAGCTTCTGGAGTTGCCTGAACCTGCAGCTTTGCCAGCCCCTCAGCCGTCAGCCGGAGCACAGCTGAAACTTCAGCCGCCGACAGCCCCGCGACCCAGACTCCGGGCGCTGTCTCAGTGGAAGCCACAGGACAGTCAGGCAGAGAGACAAGCAGCCTTGTCACGGTGGAGCCAGCTGCTCAGAGCGGTTCCTCACTTCTTCACTGAGTCTTTTCAGCTCGAAGTCGTGCATGAGGACAGCCAAATGGAGTTAGGAAATTTCGACTTGCGGTTCGCCAAGAAGAGCACAAACACTCTTCTCAACAGGATCAGCAGCATGCAGCGTTTCGCAGCCTGGACCGTCAAGTCCTTTCCCAGAGAGCCACTAGCCGAGGCACTAGTCTTTTTGTACTGCCAGCAGCTCAGTCAGAAACAGGCCAGCACCAGTGCACCAGACCAACTCTGCCAGGCACTCAACTTTACAGACGGCGTGCTCGGACTGCAGGTTCCTGCCAGCACTCTGGTCAGTTCTCGAGTTCAGGGCCTGGCTCACCAGTGCCTCAGACAGCAACAGCCACCCAAACAGGCTCCAGCACTCACCACAGACCAGGTGAGGTGGCTACAGACCTTTGCTGAGTCAGACGAAAGCCAGTACGAGAGGTATTTAGCAGCTTCCTTTTTGTTCATGATTTACGCGAGGGCACGACACAGTGACATGAAGCGAGCAAAGTCCATCTCAGTCGACCTTGATGACCGAGGAACAGTCGCGTACATTGAATGTCAGGTGCTGAATCCAAAGCAGAGCAAGGCCAGTCGCAGGAGGAACCTGTTCCTGCCGCTCGTAGCCCCTGCGGAGGGCATCTGCGCTCAGTCTTGGACAGTCGAGTGGCTTGACCTCAGGAGACATCTAGGTCTGCAGTGCAACGGCAGCCTTGAAGACAGCCCCCTCCTACCGGAACTGGCAGCCGACGGCAGACTTCTCCAGACCAACATGGACTCAGCCAGTGCTTCGAGGTGGCTTCGTTGCATCCTGTCCAGACAGCCAGGGTCAGACGAGGACAGCATCCTCAAAGTTTCCAGTCAAGGACTCAAGGCCACCTGTCTTTCATGGTGTATGAAGTTTTCTGTTTCGGATGGTGATCAGACTATTTTAGGCTACCATAGTCGTGGCAAGAGTGGAAGCGCACTCAGCTACGGCAGAGACGCGCTAGCTGGACCTTTGCGTGCACTCGAAGGTGTTCTCGCGGCAGTACGCCAAGGAAAGTTCAGACCAGACAGCACTCGCTCAGGGAGGTGGCAGACTGGTGCAGCAACCTCCTCGGCAGCGTCTTCGTCTCAACAGCCTCAGACCGACCAGACCGCGGAGTCCTTGGTCCAGCCCGTCCTAGACAGTGCCAGCTCCGAGTCTGAGGCAGTCAGTGAGGGCTCGTCAGAGGAAGAGACGCAGGTTTTGCAGTCAGTCAGTCATAGCCTTGCACTAGTCGCAGGCGATGACAACTTTCAGTTTCTCTCAAACATTCGCAGTGGCATTGTTCACATCTGCCGTCTTGACAACGACAGGTTGTTGTGCGGTAGAACAGTCTTTGACAGTCTTCAGGTTGCGAAGACCCTGGACTTTTCCAAAGTCAAGGCTTGTCTTACTTGTCAGTCTGTGGCAGACGGCCTAATAGCCGGTCGTTGGGCCACCGGATCCTAAAATTTTCGTTCATGCGCAGGGGGACTTTTCAGACCTCGCATCCCTGAACAGTCGGTTGCAGCCTTCAGCCTGAACAGACGGCCAGTCCTAGCCCGGAGACAGACTTCGAGGACGGCCGGTCTTTTGAGGATCGCGGCACAGGATTTTCCCCACCTTCAGAAAAGGAGCTCTGCATCTTAGTAGAGTCGCTGTTCGTTAAATTGTGTTGTTCACGAATGCAACTCGTAAGCGCCTATGTAGGAGCGTGCCGAAGTTCTGGATCAGAGCCACTTCTTAGGTGACACGTTGACATAGACCGGCAAAGATCGGCACCTTTCTTTCGGAGCGTGTTGCTCTCAAGCTGTAGCTGCAGTGGTGGCCTGAGGCTGAGTCACTTCATGGCGTCCCAGAAGAGACGCCCGCAGGAAATGTGCCACATTCTTAGGCAAGCTCGCTGGAGCGCAGGCACACAGAGTCAGACTCAGGCATATGTCGCAAGAAGTTGTGCACGAATAGACAGGCCAGAAACAGCCAAGAACCTGCGCCCTCCGCCAGAGGCAGCGAGTGCTTTCAGCGGAAGGTGAGCAGAGGCTCAGACCTGTGTAGATGCCTTAGCTTCAGCAGATCGTAGGCTGTGTTGGAGCTTCGGGCTCAATGCCAGAATGTTGGTGATTCAGGTTCAGAGTGCCACGATGAAATAAGTCAGCTTCGGAAGTGTGTCGGCCTGAGATCTTTTGCGAAAACGTGATGGATTTCTGCTTTGAGTCAGAAGCGTACCCAGGGAACTATTGACACTGCTTGGGCCTGCTTCCGTGTTCCTTCCACTCTTGCAAGAACTGACTGCCACCTTCACTCTGTTTGTAACCTCAACTAAGTCTACATTTCTTGCAGCCCTTGTGGTGGTATGTGGTGGTCCAAATCGATGAAACCGAGGCCTCAACGCATGACCGGCGACTGCTGTCTCTGGCGTGAGTACGGGACCCGATGCCGGCCAAACACTGGCTGCATGGTGACCCGGTCCGCGTGTTTGAGTGGCGACATTTAGTTGCACTGATGCCATGTTCGCCGTGCAGCAGAAAGTTTGATCAGCAAGCATGGGTTCGGTCCACTTCATGCCCCTGCGCAGCATGAGAGTCTCTCGCACCTGGTCTTTGATGCCCTGGAGAACATCTGCCCCGAACAGTTTCGAGAGGCCTTGGATTCTGCATGTTGGCTGACGCTCGTGAAGAAACTGCAGCCATAGCCCATGTGACAGGTTTGCCGCAGCATCCAGTCCTTTCACGAGGATCATAAGAAAGATCAATCAATCACGCTTTTCCTGCTAGGTTCCGTAACGAGCTTCTTTCCCATCCCGCCGTATGCAGAACCTCCGCAGATTGCCCATTCCGGGGTCTTTCGTATTTCGTTGGATTCTGCCCACATCTGGAGATCCTGTAGATTCGTGCATGGGTTCCTCCGGAAAAGGGCTGGTCCGTTCACTGCAGGATCTGGACAAAGATGGCAATGACTGTCTCCATGCAGCTTTCGGAATGCAAGGCGCGTCCCTTTCGGTGGCCTGCGCGTAAGTATCTGTACGATTTCTATGCAGAGACCCCGCCGGCCCCACTACCGATGCGAAGAAGTCAGAAAAATGTCTACTGTGCTTCTAGTACGGGTGTTCAAAAACTTGCTTCCAGCGTTGCTATTCAATGAAAATTCCAGGCGTTCTTTGCCGCGTTCCTGAGTACGTCGACTCAATCGCTCAGGTCTGCATTCGGGGGGGCAAAGGTAGCGAGCAGTTGAGTAGTTTTTCTTCAGTGCATGTGTGGAGAGTTTGCAAGGTCAGCAACAGCTTCATGTGGGCCAGGGCCGTCATTGAGGAGGCCAGGGGTCGTCCAAACATGTGCCCTGATCACGAAAGCTAGCGTAGCGAGGCTTTCGTTTTTGTTAGCAGTGGGGCCTGGATGTCGGCCGCAACCTGTGTAGATTGATTGTAGTCCAGCCCCGCCAATCAGACCGCAGCGGATGTGGCGGCTGCAGCCTCCTGGGACGCTTTGATCGAAAGCTTCGGGAGGCACACCAGGGAGAGTTTCCTTGCCCTGGCGGCTGCAGCGATCTCAGTGAAACCTGGAATCCCAGGCAGTTCCGAATGCTTTCCGCGATAGCAGAGAAGCCTTCCAGCCACTGGTCCAGCAGGACTGCAGAGACCTCCGCGAGCTATCGTCCCCCAAATGCAGTCCTCTTGCACAAACTCCAGCAAACACTACCGCAGGAATCAAGACCGGGCCTTGCTAAATGGTCTGCAGCCGCTTCCACCTGCTGCTAGCCTTGGCCTCGGCAGCCTGTAGTAGAAATGGTGCATGGTTCCGCCTGTGTACATGATGCCAGGTAAGGTGCCTTCAGGGGAGGCTTGCACTTCTTCTGTCATTCATTTGATGGCATTTCAACCCAAGCTGTTTTCGTGCTTTGATTCATGGCAGGGGGACAGACTACGGCCTGAACCTGAGTCCTTGACCTCCTTTGGGACATCGTGGAGTTGCAAACGAGGGAACCCCAGGCAACAGCCGAAGAGTCAGGGGGCGGCTGCAGAGTTGCTGGACGGTGCAGCGAGTCCTGCTGCCAAAGTCGCTTTCGCAGGATCTACGCTTCAAGCACTAGGCCTTTTGGCTTGCAAGGATGGGCCGGCGGAGGATAAGTTGTCGAGATCCGTTGAGTCTGCACGCGTTGCTTACACTGAGCTTTGGGAGGACATCCCAAACGTAGAATCTGCTGCCTCCTCCATGAAAGAGGTGCTGCAATCTGGTGACTGCAGCTGCTGGAGCCGAGCAAGTTCCAGCTTCCAGAGATTGTCGGATGCATGCAGCTATGCTGCATGCGAGACAGCCTTGCTGGTGGTTAAATGTTCTTCAGGCACCGAGTCGTGGCAGAGGCCGACGAAAAACTTGGAGGCTCTCAGCGCAGCGGTCGCAGCCTTCACTGCGGTGCAGACTTTGGCTTCGGAAGTATCGGGATCGGGTTTTGACCCGCCGCCTCGGAATTGCCCTTGGGCCCCTTTCGTCGCGGGTTCCTTCGGGCAGCCTTCATTGGGCTCCGTGTTGAGCTGCCTGCTGATCCTGATCCCCATCGCAGTGTGGAGTGCTCAAGCACTTCCCAAATCTGGCGCCAAGAAAGCGAAGGCCGCCCACCAGGAGGACCTCCACGCATGCAGAATAGCACTGAAGGATCTCTTGCAAGGCCTTGTCCGTGCTATAGAAATGCAGTCCGAGACCGCCGCATCTGCAGCCAAGAAGGAAGCAAGCGAGTTGCTTCCGCAGCGTAAATCGGCTTTGGCGGCCAGCCTGACAGGGAACGCCGCCGAGCAGTTCGAAGCGCTTCGAACTGAGACAGAGAAAGAAATCTTGGACACGCAGAGAAAGCAACTGAAAGGCTTGGGAGACATATTGGCACAACGCTCCATGCTCCTGAAATCTCGCGGCGCTTTCAAGCCATGACCGAGAAGAAAGGATTGACTTCATAGTTTAGCTTGCGCAGCAATAGATTTTAGTGCGGCTTTCAGGAATCGGTTTCACGAGCTTATCGAGGCGATCCTTGGTGGGCAAAGTCACGGAAGCAATGTGCATGGCATGTGGCTGCTCCATTCGTGTTGTTTGCAAGCATGTCTCAAGTGTTGCACAGCATGTTCAAGAGCAAGCATGATAGCATGCTATAGCCTCGGCATCTGAGAGATCCTATCGAACCTCGCATGCCCTCAGCCAGGTACTTCCAAAAGGAGCACTTATTCGGCCCGTACATCTGAATAATAGCGTATTGTTTGATCAGCCTCCGGCATTGGACGCGTTCAAGCGCGATGCAGGACCTCGGCTAGCACTCTTCTTTCAATTTTCGTCCTGTTCCTTTGTCGTTCGATGTCTTTCTGCAGTATGCGGCCTTCGCCCAACTTCCACCCCCTCCCGGCCTCGTGGGCCGCGGCCTCAAGAATACAGAAGGCCCCGTTCGCGGACGTGTGCTAAGGCACGCGATCCGATCCCATCGTGCTGCCGCTGCAGCGGCCCGGAGATTTCGCGGTTCCTCCGAGCCGACAGCGACTGCACTGCGAGGCCGGGCCCGAGCGATCTGAAGTCCACTTCGGAAGAGGCCCGCCCGTAGTGCGCCTGCAGTTCTGTAGAATGAAGAATTGCTGCAGGCACGGTATTCGCATGCAGAACCAAGCAAGCCAAGACATGGACAGGACGTAAGTGAGAACGCGATAACTTCACAACAAGGTGCAGACACGCTCGATCAAAGGAAAGCTGCGTCCAAAATGTAGCTGAATCAACATATGCATGTAGGTATGTGTTTTGTGTTGATGTGTAATGTGCGGCTGCGTGCCTCTCTGGGTGTGTGTATGCGTGTTTTCAAGCTTATCTTTCCACATTCGGTGGACCAATTCAGCATAGCCACGCGGACCGTGGAGTTTTGGGTGCTCTCAAACTGACCCCTGGGTGTGATCCTGACAGCATGCTCACAAAATTGACAGATTGGACATGCTTCGGTCAGTATCTCTTCGTCCAACACCTCGTAGGAAGATCGGAGCGGGTCTGGGAAGAACGATGCATCATTCTGATAGCGAGACGAAATTTGATGCAGGAGACACAGAAGATCTTCAAGCTGGCTCGTGATGCAGCTGCCTTGAGTGTGTTAGGTGACAGCTATTAGTCTGTTTAGTCTGCCTGTAGAAATTTGATGTTTCTTGTCCTATGCCCTGGGTTTCATTGTTTTGCGACTCCTCTGTCAACATTAAGCATGTTCCCCAAGCACAAGATCTGAAAGATTCTGCCGTGGGTGATTCTTGCCGAATTTCTCGAGGTTGTGGCGGACCATGAGAAGTGGCTGTCCACAATGAGTGACGAAGAGGCGATGCATCTCTCCATTTCCGCACATGCTTACGTGTAGTTCGGAAGTCTTACAGGCGAGCCGAAAGGAGCGGCAAGACCTACTGCGTGTTGTTGCGCAGTCTTCAGGGACTGTTGACAAGAAAGCGTGAGCCCTGGGTCTCGTGCTGTGCATGCTGTGCCGCTTCGGGTTTGGCCCACACCTGCAGCGTGCCGCGACGAACGGCTCCTGAGGCGACGTTACAATTTCAGATGCCGGGTGGTTCGCAGGCTCTTAGCTCGCATAGCAGCCGGTCGTGTCATCTGAACTTGACCGTGTCAGCCGTTTCTTCTTCAGGCGACGGAGAAGTTGGATGTCGAGGCCACCACAGCCTTCGAGCTCAACTCCAAGGACAACGCCGTAGACAACACGAGCGGACAGCACGAAGCCATGCTATGGGGCAGTTGGGCATGACCACTGCCACGGCTGCTGCGAGGCCTACGAGCTCCTTTCCAACAAGCGCGAGCAATGGAAAATCACGGCCGCCCTCACAGGGCAGGCAGAACGTAAAGCCGAGTGATCCAACGACTTTCCCAGGTTTCAGGCCCCACAGCGGGCGCTGCTTCCTCGGTCTTCATCGAAGTCAATGAGGCGGCAGTTTCTCCAGACATATGGTGACGGTGGTGCTGCAGTGGCCGATTAAATCAGCCTGACTCCCTCACCTCAGCTTGTAAGCGTTGAGCGTTGAATGCTCAATGCTCCGCACAGTTCTGTTGCAGGCAATGTACGGGCAGAGCCTGGCCAGTCAGGATCTAGGTTGTCAGCCTGCCAGCTCTTGCATGCTCACACTTTTCGAAGTGCCGTGATGCCTCCACTGCCTGCAGCTTGCCTCATCCGAGCCTCAGTCTCAGGTTTAGGGATGGCGCCGGGCTGCAGCTACACAGTGAAAGTTGTACAGTGAGATATGAGGATCATGAGGTGAGGGTCAGACTCTGTCAAACAGACTCCGAAGTGAAGCAGCGCCGGTTTCCTCTTGGTGCAATGCTTTGCTCAGACTCCTCTGTCCGCTGTGCTTTCTGCTTACATCGTGTTACTTTGTGTGCGCAGCGTGATCTTCAAGACGTGCGACCAGTACAGGGTGCGAGCGTCTGGAAGGCTGTTTTGCAAAACAGTCTCAATTTCAATGCCCTTGCATCATGGTCCTAAACGTCTGGCTGTCAGAGAAATCCTATCCATCCGCAGTTCAAGAGCTCGTGTATCGACTCGCCTATCAGTAACCCGGTTTCTTGATGAAGCATATTTCTGATCCAACAACGGACGGTAGCTACCTGAAGTATCTTGAACTGAATTCTGAAATCGCGGGCTTATGGTAGCCTTCAGGATAAGCCGAGAGGCTTCGAAGATGAGCGAAATGCGATCCTAAGCAAAGAAGACACCAAGGAACATAAAGGGACCCAAGTTTAAAGTTTAAACCGACCCACCGTTTAACATGTCTCGTATGGGCATGTCCATAGTGCATAAGACGCGTCGCATGTCCCGTTCCCACTTCCGCGGAACACCTCGACATCATGCTGGAAGGTCTAAGTGGCATCTCGACCCAATTTGAGCTCGGCTCTTGCTGGCACCCGCAGCTTTGCTGGCTCCAGCACAACTATGAGAAGGCACTGTAGCCTAACATACATGCTGCTCGAGATTTCACGACTGTCTGCATAAACAGGGCAGTAGATAGCTGCCTGTAGCAGAAGAAATTATGATTACATCCAGCTTCCAGGCTTTCGGCTGCAAGCTAGTTCAAGTTAGTCACGCTGTCTAGCGGCGTTCGCATCCCCACAACTATGCAACGCCAGAGGCCAAGATCTCATGCAGGCTGCGCCTAATCTTTCCAGCCTCGGCGTGCAAATTTCGCGCAGGAGTGATTTTTGGAAACCCGCGCTCTCCGATTTCGATGCTTTTGACTTTAATGTTGACGGTCATTTTCGGGTCATTTATCACCGGTGTGGTGTGCCACTTGATCGGGTTGTCAAAGGCTGTAGCTGACGGCAGCATGTCCCCACCGCAGCAGCCTGCGTGAAGCACCGATGATGAGTCAGTAGGACCCGACCTGACAGCAAGCACAGGAGGAGATGAGCTGCTGTGTGGCAAGCCCTTCGGAATTGCAGGCATGTGAACAGAGCGGATAGCAATGTGGCACTCACGTCAGGACCTCGCATTCTGTCGCAGTGATACTGGTACCATGAAGGGCGCTCTGTGCTGTGACAGTACCGCTACTGAGCACAGGGCTAGTCGATCACTCTCCGAAGTTTCTCAAGTCGTAATGACACGAGGCGCAGCTCAATGAAGCTCAGCGTGCCCTGGCAGATTCGCGCAAAGTCCTCTCTGCCACGAAGAAGGCCCGGACGACGACGTCGACTCGATCTCTGTCGAGTTTGCTCGGAGTAAGCAGAAAGTGCGGCCTGTCAGGCGCTCGCAGATGCGGAGAAATCCCTCCGAGACCAAGCCGAGGCTGCCGAAGAGGGAACGGAGTGGAGTGGAGTGTGCTCCCGTTGCTGGCATGGAAGGCTTACGGCTGTCTCCGGCGATGCTTCGATGGTGCTAATGCGCCGGTTGTCGTTCCGCGCTTACGTGCTCAGCTTTCGATGCTGGAGCCGATTCGGCAGCAGCGGGTAGTTGTCCGCTCTCACATATCAATGTTACCTCACGGCAGAAGCTTACTTGCTGCTTCTAAGCAGCGGCCGGTGTGAGGCTTTTGGTCGAGAAGCTTGTAGCTAGAACCCTAGGTTGCTACCGGTAGCACAAGTCTTGGAAAACAGGGCAGCCTCTTCGTAGGGTCGCGGTCTGCCAAGGCTGTGGATCGGTACGGTCTGATCACGCGGTGGAACAGGAAGGCTGAGGAGGTCTTTGGCTGCCCTTGCGAGTCAGCCCTGAGGCACGCTTCGCTCTTCGTCAAGCTGTCAGATATTGGGGATATCCGATGCTTCGGCAGGAGACCGTTCTCCGAGTTTCTCGAGACAGGGGACCAGCCTGGTTTGGCTGACTTACAGGAGCCTTGAATTCAACCTGAGAGCAGCAGATGAGGGAACCCGCCGCTGGCTGGGAAGATGTCTCCCGTTGGATGTGATGCTAAGGCGGCCATCACCTCCAAAGCGATGCTGCATCTCAGCTAGCATGCAAACAGACCCGCACGATGGATGGATAGTTGGAGGAAAATTCGTTTGATTGTTGCCAGTGTCACGACGGATCTACCGCGCCCCTTTGGGACAGCCAATGGCCAACTTCCTTCGAGTTGGCTTTTGTGGTGGTTGTGCCAATTTGTTTGCTGTATAAAGCTCATCGTCAGTCTCGGCCTGCCACCATTCCACAGGGACTAATGATTGCCTAGAGTACCCGCTTCATCAGCGCAGCATCATACCCTCACACCTCCAACACCAAGGTCCCCCGGTGGCGCGGCACACCTGCAGAGGCGCTTCTGCGTGCACTCCCGGGCGGCTGGGCAGCCGTGGCATGAGGCTCCTGGAAGATTCGCAGCCATAGCCTTTCACTAGGGCATCTTGAGGACTGCACAGCCGAGACGAGCATCACAGACCAGAAGATAGTAGTCTCGCAGGCACATGATCCCTCAGGGTAGCAGGATTTTCGATGAAAGACAGAAGTTTTGAAGTTAATCAAACTCTGCTCCGAAAATGCCCGCCACTTGGGACCAATGCAAACAGAGCAAGTGACTTCAGGCACAAGCTGGCGATGACCAGATCCGAATTTCTCGACGAAAAGTCAGTACGGCTGAACCGTCCTTGTCGTAGCTCTGCTCGGACGTCAAAAAGTAACATGGTTTGCTTACTCTGTGTGACTTTGCCCCAAGCCTCTGTGTTCGTAATTCGCGTTTAGATCGCATTGGTGGCTCGCTGCCCGACTGCATGAAGATTCGTAGCAGGTTCTATTCCTGGCATCCAGCTGCCCAAGTGCCAGCAGCAAAGATGCTGCGGGCGTGCTGTATATTGGCCAGGACAGCAGCGAACGCAGTGAGCTACAGCAGGTCTTTTTGCTTCGTGGCGACATCCCGCGACAACAGGAAGTCACTGGCTTGCTCAAGAGCTCGCACTCCTCCGAAGTGACGCTTCAAGACCGCCTCATCCGATGCTCGGAGTGGAAGTCTGACACATGGGCTGCGGGCCTTAACGAATTCACTGAAAAAGGCGGACACTTGAGAGCTGTCTTGCTGAGGAGAGGTGAATGCCCCTTTGATTGCGGTGGACAGGTCCGGATGCGTGGAGGAGCTAGCATATGGTGTCTCGCCGCATGCCCCTAGAGTCCTAAAGCTTGTGTGCTTTGAGGAGTGGAACCGCGGAGCCGAACTTCTGACGGGCTTTACCAAGGAGGAAGCTGTCGGGAAGAGACTGGTTCAGAATTACATTGCCGACGAGTTCTCCGACTCAGTACAGACCATGCTCTCACAGGGCATGAACGGTCAGGACCGTGTTGGGCGGCTTGCGTTTGGAGTCCTGGGCATGCGAGTTTCGGCACGCAGATCTCTGATCGTGCAACAAGACTGCACCCGCAGGAGATCACGAATTATGAGTTTTCCCTGTGGACGAAAAGCGGGCAGCGAAAAGATATTCTTTGGAGTGCAACTGCCCGCCGCGATCGTCATGGAAACATCGTGGGCGTGATCGGTATCGGCCATGACAGGTTTGAAACACTGTGACCATGTTGCTTGGTATTGTGGTAGAGGTAACCACAATTTTGAGTTACTTCGGCTCAGTGCGTCCTGCCAACCATTTGAACTCTGTACTCCAGTGTGCTATCATAGCCTCATCGATTCTTTTGGCCCTTTTTTGCAGGACATAACTGAGCTACGCTCAGAGTCGAAGATGCTGGCGAATTATGTCCGCATATGTGGCGCGGCGGTCTGGTCCCTGAAGGGGAACGCTAAGACAGGAGTCATCACCGAGCCTTGAAGGCACCCAGATGGTGGTCCGCCCTTGGCTTTGGTTAAAGAGGGCTTTGCTTGTCTCAGTCCTGGCCTGCATATTGTTGGCCTCTAAGGACAGCAAAACTCGCGAAATTGAACACTTGATCTCGCAGCAGGCGCAGATGGACATTTGTGATCCACGAATGGTGCTGTGGCGAGCATCTTTTGTTTCGATCTTGAAGACCATGTGCCCGAAGCTCAGAAAGTTGGAGCCGGCAGCCCGGCAGCCCTGTTGATTCACGTTTCGCCCAGGTCAGAACTTCTGGATGAGACGGAAAGGGGTGCAAGAAGGGGTTCATGTGCCACCGGAGAAGCTGGGGGAGAGGAATGAGATTGCGACTGGGCTTGAAGTCAAGAAGTTCCCGAATGCCCGTGTGCCGACACGGCATGATCATCCAGCAATCAGCACGACAGCGGCAACGCTTGCCTTGTGGCCACTAGGTCACAACAGACTTTGGCTACGAGTTCTGCTTCGAGGCCCCAAATGGGAGCGTGAAGTGGTACAAGGCGCGCATGGTGCTGTCATGTTGGTGGTGCACATCCGCCGCTTCACCGTCACGGCTCACAGCCTCGAATCCTCGAACACCTGCTAATCCTGTGCCAGGTGCAGGGGCATCTCATTCAGGAGTGCACCCTTGGCAGCCAATTTGAAGTCACAGGCTCTATGCAGGAAGTCACTTCGATGCTCATTGACAAAGTCATGGGTGACAGGCGCAATCGGGGAGAGCACGGCCTGTAACCTGCGAACAGATAGTTCGAGAGGGCACGAAAGACAAGTCCTTTTGCTAAACCAGCCCTGTGCAGGTGGCAAAAATGGTGGAGTCGTATGTGCCATATGGTCTTTGATGCCACATTGCTAGTGGACACACAAGAGTACCGAGTGCTGAATGCCTGGGGCGAGGAGAAAGTCTTCGGATGCAAGCTGCAGTCGCACCACCCGCTCCTGCAGCTCATAAAGCCCGAAGACACGGTCTCCCTGAAGGAGGCCTTCAACGAGGTGACTTTCAAGGGATTTGAGCGCGGCCGTACTCTGCACTTGCTTCGACCTGGCAATCAGCGAGACACTCCGGCACAATGCTTTCTGCTTTCTGCAGATCAGGAGAATCCCAACGAGTGCATGATGGGCATTCGGATGCAGGTTACTGCTTCTGATGAGAATGTGTCCGTTCTTTGGGATGTTGCAAAGCCAAACCCAGTGCTCACGCTCGAAGACTTGGCGCGGTTGAAATCTGGCCTGAAACGATCGCATCGGCGTCCATCGCGGAATTTACGCAATGTTCATCAGCGATCACTTCACCCCAGGCGCTTGTTACCACTTTGGGTTCGCAGAGTCGACTCGTGTGACAGTAGCCGGTTTCAGTAATTAAAGGGCCGAAGGATTTTCAGGATTGTTTCAAGGAGTGTCGCTGAGTTAATCACAGGTCGCGCACATCGGACCCTATCGCTTCCTCACACTCGCTGTCCAGCATTCCCGAGGAGCTCCCGCAGAGCCATGAGCCATGTTTATTGGAGGGAATTGTCTGCTTGAGGGTTTGAAAGCAGGATCTGCATGGAGAGTTTGAAGATGACGACGATGTCCGATCTGTCTCAGACATGTCTGACAGAGGCCGCCTGCTTGCCATCCGATTATAGCATTGTCAAAGAAAGCTGCTTGGAAGGCTCCGAGGCAGAAAACTCCATGGCCGACGACAGCGAAAGCCGCTGCTCTAGTTTTGACCTCAGAGCCTGCGTGTTTCGGAGTTTATGACGACTTTTGCGTTTCAAGGTTCGGAGCACAGCTCCACATCCAACGATGAGGGGATGTCCGAGGCCCCTGCATGCGACGGTTTCGAGACACTCGAAGCGCATATATAAAAAATAGTCATAGAGTCATAGAGTTGTTGACGGAAGCAGAACCTGGAAGGTTGGCGTGTGCAACAGCAGCCCGGCAAGATCTGCCAGCGAGGAGCAAGCAGAGGGAGACCAGCCTCCGATGCGAAGCATGGAGTTCGGAGTCCAGCAGCAGTTGTAGTGATTTCTGCAGCGAGGACTTCGTGCCGGGAGCTCCGCACGACTGGAGCTCGAGACTTGGCGATCTCGGGGCGATCTCGAGCACAGTTTCCTTCGGAACCTGTGACTTTCTTGATTCTTTCTTGCATCGGGCTGAGGCACGAATCCCTTCAACCTTTCACCGAAGAAGGGTCGATTGCTGCTAGATGTGACCTCCTTGGTCCTTATCATAACTGTGCATCAGTGGAGTGTAGTTGTATACCTGTCCTCCCCAGACGTTGGCTCGAGGCGAGTTCGCCATCGCGAGGAGCGAAGTACGGCGGGGTTCCTGCAAGGAGCGGCTTCTCCTGCAGTGGCTTCCGTGCGTCGGTTTGGGCATCCGGTTCGTCAGGCAACTTGCGCCCGGCGTCCATCTCTCAGCCTTGACGGCTGTAGCTGCTTCGAGTCATTTGACAGCACTCAGCGATGCCGCGAGTCTTTGAGGCTCCGCTGCCTGTGCAGAGGAAGGCAGGGCTCATTTCGGCTCGGCGGGTGTCCCGGCTCCGTTGAATTGACACTGAGGCGCGGGTTGGGCCTCCCACCGTGAAACTCCGATGGCTGTAACCTCAGCCTTGCGAACTGCTCAGCAGGCGCACACGTCTCTGTAGCTTGAAGCAGGTCCGGCCAATCGTTCTCTCTGAACTTGAATGATTTCGCTTCAATCAGCGAGCTTCGAGCACACATTCACCGGGTGACAGGCAAGTTTGTCCATCTATTCATTGCCCCACCGCTTCTTCCTGACTCGCGCAGTCCACCGTCTTGAACACTGCAGGTGTCCCTGCAATTCGTCAGACTTTAATCCTGGGTGGCAAAAGGCCACGACCTTCTCCAGTTCCTGTATCAGGCCAAGTTTTGAAGAGACTGGCTTGCCAGGCTCCCCATCAATGAGGACTCATCACCGACGATGAACGAGCCGAACTGGCAGGAAATCAAGGCACGTCTCGCGTGAACTGACAAGCTCCCACCATTATTGCTGCAGTATGTGAGTGTTATGTTACTGTCCGACGATATTGAGATTTCGGAATCACGCCGGAACCTCCAGGATCTGGTTCGTCCTGGTCAGTGCTTGATGATGGTTGGCAGTGCGACTTGAATGAGCTTTACATCTGAAAGTCTGCAGTATTATCACATCCCTTTATGTCTTTGAAACCAGGTCCCGGACCCACACGCAGTACAAGCGCAAGCAGCCAGTCAAGGGCCAAGCCGCTTCATTCCATCACGGTTTGCAAAGTGCCGCTCTATCACAAGGTGCTCCGACGCCTGCTCAAGCGACACCCGAAGTTGCCGAAGCTGCAGAAGTTGTGTGCCCCTTGGAGAGGGGTTTCGGGCAAAGCGTCGACTTCAAGCAGCGGCAGCTTGCCGAGGCGGTGTTGCCGGCATCCCCTACTGCTGCGGAACCTGCTGTTTGATATGGCATGCCGCCGACATAATATTCTTACTGTGCTTTCAATTCGCCGTTCTAAGTCAGCCTGCTCGTACCAACATCGAACGCAGCTTGACGTAAAAGAAAATGCCTTCGAAAGGCCGTTCTTCAACTGCTAAAACCGCTAGCCTGTAGGTTCTATCGGTATCTCTATCAATATTATCAAGGAGAGCGACTCTTCATGGCTTTATTGCTGAATTTTCGGGTTTGGGGGCACGATCTAATCACTGCTTTGCTATGCTATACTAGAATACGAAAATCCATAAATTCTTGCGCTACGATATTCCCCACCGGACTTCGTACCCCCACTCCAGAACGTTC